ATTAAAAGATAACAAAACTTTTATTATATCCCCATACTTTGATGACAGAGAAAGCAAAGCCACTCGTGTGATTGGGATTGTTCACCATGAAGATGTGAAACAGCTATACTGCTGGTTCTGCTGTCAGCCCAATGGAAAGATCTATGTATCAAATGCAAAAATTGATGTTCACTCAGATAGATTTGGATTCCCTTATGGTGCAGCAGATATAGTTTGTTTGGAACCTGAAAACTGTGATCCAACACATGTATCAATCCATCCGTTTGCACATGGAAATATTGACCAGCTGCCAAGGTTTGAAATTAAAAACCGCAAGGCTGAGCCCTTTTCTGTTGACTTCACTGTGTGCATCTCTGCCATGTTTGGAAACTACAACAATGTCTTGCAGTTCATACAGAGTCTGGAAATGTACAAGATTCTTGGAGCTCAGAAAGTGGTGATCTATAAGAACAACTGCAGCCATCTGATGGAGAAAGTCTTGAAGTTTTATATAGAAGAAGGAACTGTAGAGATAATTCCCTGGCCAATAAACTCACACCTCAAGGTTTCCTCTAAATGGCAGTTCATGCAAGATGGGACACACATTGGCTACTATGGACAAATCACAGCTCTAAATGACTGTATATACCGTAACATGCAAAGGAGCAAGTTTGTGGTTCTTAATGATGCTGATGAAATAATTCTTCCCCTTAAGCATCCAAACTGGAAAACAATGATGAGCAGCCTTCAGGAACAAAACCCAGGGACTGGCATTTTTCTCTTTGAGAACCACATCTTCCCAGAAACCATCTCTACTCACATGTTCAACATCTCGTCCTGGAATACTGTGCCAGGTGTTAACATATTACAGCATGTTCACAGAGAGCCTGACAGGAAATATGTAATCAATCCCAGGAAGATGATAGTTGATCCGCAAAAAGTGATTCAGACTTCAGTCCACTCTGTCCTACATGCCTATGGGGACAGTGTGAATGTTCCCGTGGATGTTGCCCTCATTTATCACTGTCGGAAGCCCCTTCAAAGAGACCTTCCCAGAGAATCCCTTGTCAGAGATACAATCCTGTGGAGATACAACTCATCATTAATCATGAATGTTAACAAGGTGCTATCTCAAACCATACTGTAAGTTCAAAAGTGAAGTTAAACCTCAGTTTGAAGGAGGGAAAGTGGAGAGCAATCCTTGCTGGGGGGGAGGCAGAGGA